TATAATCTGTTATATACAGATGTAATCTGTACAGATATTTACAGACAGTTATAATAAAGGTAAAAATAAAAATTAAAATCTGAACTTACCTATAAATTTACTTAGAGAAAAATTGGAGTGAGTTCCATTGTCAGTTGATGAATAATTCCAATTTCCACTAATGTTTTGAGAATCATGTGGTCCAGCACAATAATGTTCCAATGCTTCTAAAATTGCTTTGGGAGACTGAACTGTTCTTTTCATGCTTGCAGCTCTTCTGTTTAAAAGTGCTTTTCTAGCATGCCAAGGACACACGCTTGAAAATTAACAATGAAATCTTAATGTCATATTGTAACAAATTTGAATTTTAAGATATTCAAATTTATGAACTCACCCATCTTTCTTATCATTTTTAGGAGCAGCTTTAGTGCAACGTTTGCCATTCTGAGGATGAACAAAACTGCACTGTTTGAATGGTGCTGTTTTATCTTCTAATATATGCCTTAGGCAATAATCATAACCATCTAAACGTGTCTGCATGCATACCCTATGCACATAATTACAGAATAATTTTTCTTGAGGAATTTTTCCTTTCTTAGCACTAGAAGACTTCTTATTACTGTTCATTTTCTAAAAATAAATTATAAGATTGAAAATTTTAACTCAAACACAATAAAATTTTTTATCTAAATACATATTTACATACACAGGAAATCCTTGTTAGTTTGAAATTCAAAGAACAAAATCTTTGAATTATCAAGATTTGAATTATCTGAAATTTACATATCCTAAATCTGTACTAGAGATTCTCATTTCCCAGTTCTTTGCTTGTCCCAGAATATAATTAATTATTTTTAAGATATAAAATAAATCTTGAAATGGAATAATATAATTATTTTTCATTATCCTAAGTAATTTAATATGTTCTGCAACCTCCAAAATAATAATAATAATAATGTTGCGTAAAATATGTATTAAAAATTACCTTTGCATTATGTAGAAATTTTCACAAACAGAAAAAATTTATTAAAGTTTGTTGGAAACTGCTTACAAAAAAAAAGCAGCCTTTGAATTGAGTTAAAAATTTAATGAAAAAAATGAACTTAGATCAAGCTTCTAACTTAGAAGGTAATTTTCATTTTTTTAAATAAAATATAATACAAAATATTATTGTAAATTTTTATAATAAGATTTTAAAAAGAAAAGATGGTCAATAATCCAATCATTCAATCTAGTTCTTATTTTAGTAATGAAAAGTTCTGCTACCAAAAATGCCCTTTTTGATTCAATTGATGTGGGTGGCATCATCTTTAATGCATTTAAGAGAAGATGGATGTTATGTATATTTTCACCTGTAGCCTCAAAGATTTCTAGTTTGTTTTCAAGATGCATTGCAATACTTCTTTTGCTGTCTAGTATTCCTGATTTGTCTACCTCAGCTGCTTTAATAACGTCATTGAGCTTATAGCCCGATAATTTGGCAGTTCGTTTGGCTTTAAAAATCAGGTCTGTGAAGAAAAACTTTATACTCATTTGCATCCTTGTACAATTTACACAATTTGGCAAAATGCAATTATTCAAGCTACTGGGCATAGTTAAAAATTAAGACAGCATTGGCACAATCATTCAAGATACTAGCTGTTACCCGCGACTTCGCTCATTGAGGTTTTGCAAGAAAACCCCATTTATATTCAGTATTTCAACAACCATAGTAATTGGACTTTGAACTCACATTTGAGTTATAAATAAACACTTGGCTTTATTTCCATCATTTTTAGTTGATACATGACAACATATAATGTTGTCACGTATCAACTAAATAATAACAAATAATGTAAAAAATTGTCTATTTCTATTTTGAGATGTGTATGTGATTATGTCTAAGACTCCTGGATACTGTCAAATATATAAAAGATCATTTATAACAAATTTTAATGAAATTACTCCACTTATTGTAAAATAAGTTGTGTGCACAAATTAAGACCATGTATGTATAACAGATTAAAAATGGATATAGTAAGAAATATACATTATTTTAATTCTGTTTTGTAAGATATTTTATGTAATGTTTTTAAAATTGTATTTTTTAGTTGACTGATGATTTATGCCCAAAACATGCTGTTGTCACATATCAACTAAAAATGATGGAAATAAAGCCAAGTGTTTATTTATAACTCAAATGTGAGTCCAAAGTCCAATATATTCGCAAAACACAGTTTCAAAAACAACCATAGTAATTGTTATATAACACCTACCGCTGAGAATGATGAGAATTGCTGAGAATCAAATAAACTATTTTCAATTTGATCAATTTTCTGAAACGTTTACAATCGTTCTATAATCAAACCAATATGCAATAACAAATTTGAATTTAAAATGGTTTGAACATTTGGTTAAAAAATTGAAATATATAAAAATATTTATAACAATGTCTGAAATGTTATCAATTTAATATACCTAAGTACTCAATGAAGATTAAACACAGTTAAAAACAAAAAATCACATCTAAAATAGTACAGTAGAACCGTTCTTCCGGTTAAGCCTTAATGCTATTCCTCTCCACACCGCTGGGGAATTTCGAAAAATCCCTTCTTAATTTGCATTTCCATGACGTACCCTAACTGTGTACCAAATTTCACCTTTTTAGGTTCAGCTATTTGCCCTGGGCGAAGATGAATCAATCAGTCAATCAGTCAGGACAAGTAATTTTATATACAGTGGTACCTCAGGATATGAATGCCCCAGCATACGAAATTTTCAAAATACGACATGAAATTCAAACATATTTTTGCACCATGATACGAACAAAAACTCACCATATGACGTTACATTAGTTCGCAGCGCCATTTTTTATTCACTTCTGTTCATTGGTTTCAGTCCGTGTGTTTGCTTCATTGTGGAAGGATCTCGCTCGATAAAGGAAATCTTGAGGTATTATCAGAAAGTGACCGATTTTATTGAAAAGAAACATCCCGAAAAGGTTCACACTGGCCGTATTGCTGCTCGGAATAATGACATTTGCCTAAGTCATTTTAGAAACATTTTAAAATGTAGGCAAAGCCAAACCTCTTTGGATAGATATTTTACCAAGTGACCTCTATCCAGTGAAAGTGCTGGTGGAAGTAAAGGAAAGAAAGCAAAAAGCAGTGAATAAAATATAACTCTTTCTAACCTGTTACTGTTGCGTCTACTAACTCTTAATGATCCAAAAACGAACCAAAACTAACGTTTTCGAACCCCTATAACGCACCACACGACACGTATACCATATCAGATGGCTAGAGGTGGCCAGCATATACTTAGCTAACCTTAAGGATAATCAATGCATCAATTATACAGAAGAGATTACGTTATCAACAGCGTGGCTAGCGTTTATGAATGGTAATTTATGATAGCCCATTTTGGAGTCGACTGTGCATGACATACAACGACGGAAACGGGAAACGTGCATTCAAACGTACATATTTCGAATTTAAAGTTTTTACGAGCTGCACGTTCCATCAGAGATTCGAAAAAGCCTGAAGAAGAACCGTTATAGGGGTTCGAAAACGTTAAGTTTTGGTCATTTTTGGATCGTTAAGAGTTAGTAGATGCACCGGTAACAGGTTAGAAAGAGTTATATTACTATTCTCCAGTGTTGTGGTAAAGATGTGCAGTGAATAAAAATTTAAAAAATATATATATAAAACAACACTAATTTTTTTTATCTTTTCTAAGTTATTTTTAAGTTATTGTTACATTATGTTATGTAAGTTAAGTTTTAGTATCATTTCCCTTCTCCCTCTCTTCTGCCACCAGTTTATACCTCCACTGTCATCTATCCTCAAAGGTAAAGTGCAAATAAAACTACATTTTTTTAAATCAATTGTTATTCTATTATGGTTATTTATACATTTACAACTACAAAATGCATTTTTCAGTGTTTTCCTTACTATAGTTATTTTT